CTGGCCCGAGCACTTTCTGCCTCCCCTTGACTGCGGCGCGCCCCCGCGCTACGACAGCCTTACGCTCGACCTCTTCATGCTCGGCTACTTCCAGCTGCTTGAGATGGGTCTTAGCCGCGAGGAGCGCAAGTTCCGCCATCTGCTGTGCTACGAGATGTTCGACCGGTTGGGCAGCCACCCGTGGGAGCTCATCCGTCTGTTCCACCGCGTGGTGATCGAGGAGGTGGAGGCTGGCCGGCGCAGCTGGAGCGACGGCTTCGAGGACCTTAGGCGCCAGTTCTTCGGAGATGGCCCGGAGGCTGAGCCGGCAAGGAGCGGAGATGAAGAAGAGAAGGAAGAGAGGGAAGAGGAAAATGACAAAGAAATGGAGACGGAGGAGAGAGAGGTGGCAGAAGACGCAGCTTCAGCTCATACAGAGGACTGGCCAGAAGGGCAGCCGGAGGCCCAGGTCCCTACACCACAGCCCCCGCCCCCGCCTGCCCCACCGCCAGACCCGCCTATCCCCGAGGTCCCTTCGGAAGACCCCTTAGAGCTGGTATCTGAGATGGGCGAGTTCAGCAATGAAGACATCTGCCGCTACATCGACCGCAGCTTCTCCTTTTGGAAGGAGAAGGAGGCAGAGCTGTTTGACATCTGAACAAAGGAACCCGGAATTTACCCTCAAGCATCTTAACCCAGGCCGGGATGGCTGGCTGATGCCCTCGTGTGGCCAGAAGGGGCAGAAGAGCCCAGGGCGGGTGGTCTTGGAAAGGGAAAAGTGCCCAGGACCAGGCTGTCCCAGCTTTTGAGGTCCCATCATGGCAAGATGTGAGGCATTGGCCAGGAGAGATGGGACATGGCATGAGGAAGCCAGGTGTCCCCCTCTGGCCGTAGACCTTGCTGGGCCCTTTGTGGAGCTAGGAGAAATACTCAGCCCTCAGAGTGAGGGACTGAGGTCCTCTCAGACCAGTGTGGCCCTCTTTCTCTGGTTTTCACTGGAGCTCAGGGCTGCCTCCCTGGATGAGATCCAGAAGTGTGTGTGCAGTGTTCTGTGTGCTGTGACGTGTGTAGACCCTTTCTCCTTTGTAAAACCAAGTAATAAAACTTTTTGCTGTCAGGTGCCTGTGTTGGACAACCCCCCCCCCCAGTATTGCTACCGTACAATTGCAGAGCTAGTGCCCACTTCATCTGGGGAGAGGACAGGTTTGATCCAGAGGTCCTTAATGGGCACCAGGGTGCAGCCTGAACCCCTGAGCTGGCAGAAGCTGTGGGGGGGGAGTCCATGTCTAGGTCTACCAAGAGCTCCTGGGTCTCAGCCCTGGGGCCATGTGTTCACTTGCCCCTATGGGGATTCAGGCTCTGGGGATCATCCCAGCTACTGCATTCTCCTTTCTACACCAGAAGCCCAGCCCTGATCTCTCTAGCGCACAGGAGCCTAGGTTAGAGGGCAGGAGGTTCCCTCCAAGGGGGCTGTGGCCAGACACTTTCAAATTTGCCCCAGAGAATGACATCAGAAGGGTCTCTTCTTGTGCCATCATCTGTGCCTGATCGTCCCTACTCTTCCAGGCTCCCCTGCCCTGACTGGGGATGCACCCCCTCCGGCCTCCAACATCCCAGCTCATGCTGGCCCTGAAGTTCTGTGGTTGTGTTTCAGGAGGAGGAGGAGGAGGCCCGACTGGCCAGCATGCCTGCCTGGAGGCGGGACCTCCTGAGGAAGAAGCTGGAAGAGGAGAGGTGAGGTGGGCGTCTGGAGGATTTGGGGCCTGGCAGGGTATCTAGACTGTGCCCCTGAGGTAATGGCACCAACTAACACTGTCTCTTTTTCCTTCCAGGGAGCAGAAGCGGTGAGTGGGGCTGGCCCTGACCTGCCTCCCCTCTCCCCAATGAGTCACAGAGGCCTGTCCTTTGGTCCCCTCATCCAGCCCCATCTTAAGCAAATTCCCCTTGTCACTCTGTCCTATAGCACAACTTCTCTGCTCCCAGTAATGCCACTAGGTCTTTTTCCCAAAATAGCTTACTCCTGTCCCCCATAATCTAGCCTTTATGTCCTAATAACCCTGTCCCCGATACTCAGCCCCCATTTCCCACTAACCCAGCTCCATAGTTAACTCAGCCTTGTATCAATAACTTTCCTCATCTGTCCCCAGTGCTGTCCCATAGAAATCTAACATCAGCCACATATGTAATTTTTAATTTTCTAGTAGTCACATTGAATAAGTATATAAATTGGTCACTTAATTTTATTATGTTATTTAGCCTAAACGTATCCAAAATGTTATTTCAACATATAATCTATATAGACGTAATGGAGGTGTTTTACATTTCTTTTTCTAAACCAAGGCTTTCAGATATTTTTATTTTATACCTATAACATATACCAATTCAGACCAGCCATAGGCTCAAATGCTCAGTAACCACGTGGCCAGCAGCTACCCTGTCAAGAAAACCAGTGACTGAGTCAGTTCTGACTCCTGGCGACCCCATGTGTGCAGAATAGAACTCTGTAGGGTTTTAAGGCTGTGACCTTTCGAAAGCAGATTGCTGGGTCTCTTTTCCAATGGATTTGAACTGCTAACCTGTACAGTTAACACTCAAGTGCTTTACCCTTTTCACCATCTAAGAACTCTACCCTGTCAACAGTGCCCCTATAGTCTAATCACCTTGTTTCTAATCACACAACTCCCATCTCCCAATAATGTGGTCCCTCTGCCCCCCAGCAGCCCAGTGCATTCTCAGTAACTCACATTGCCCTGCCAGCAACAGCTCAGGTCCTGGCCCCAGTCATCTTGTCCCCTGCCCTGGTTAGCTCCTCCTCCATCCTCCAGTAACCCAGTTCCTCTGCCACAGGATGACCCAGCACCTATTTCTACTAATGCCCACAATAACCCAGCCGTGGCCTCCCACTCATCAGCTTGTGTGTGCCCCAGTGACTATTACTTCGGCCCCTAGTCAAGCTCCTTTGTCCCCAGCCATTCATCTATGAGCTGGAATTAACTCCACAGCAATGGGTTTGTTTTTCCGTTGCCCCCAAGAACGCACTACCCTGTCCATCATTACTTAGCCCCTCTGCCCTCAGTAGGCCACTCCTTGTGTCTCCCCTGGCTTCACCGCAGTTCTGCCCCCAACTCCCTAGGAAAGAGGAAGAGCGACAGAAACAGGAGGAGCTGCAACGGGAGAAGGAGCAGTCCGAGAAGCTGCGGACGCTGGGCTACGATGAGACCAAGCTGGCGCCCTGGCAGCGACAGATCATCCTGAAGAAGGGGGACATCGCTAAGTACTAGGCGTCGGGGCCTCTTGTCCGCAGCCCGGCGAGCTCGGCCGAGTCCCCGCCCCAGCCTGCCAGGTGGCGTCGGAAGGGCTGGGAGCCGCGCCACCTCCTCTCCCACACCGGAACCCCTCCTCGCACCCTCACCCCGCCCTCCGCATCCTAGCCCAGGACGACGCTGGAGCGCGCCCGCCGCCGCCGCAGCCGCTCAGAAAAGTGCCCAAGCTGTTGACGCAAAAAAGATGCTGCTTATTTGCATGCTTATTTACATATATTTGCATATCTGTTTAATGTCAGTGCGCAGAACTCTCCCAGCCCGTGGGTGGTGACTGTTTTCCTGCGGGGCGCGCGTCGCCTGCAGCCGCCTCCCCCGCACCCCGGAACCCGCGTCGCGGGCGCATCCTGGGCGGAGGGCGGCGTGGCGCTGGGAACGGGGCTTTCCTCCCTCCGTGACCCAGATCTGTGCTGCCCAGCGCGGTCTCATTTCCCAGCCCGGCCGAGGGTTTCCTCTCAGTCATTTGTTTACCAGAAACGATGAAAAGTGCAAACTGCCCGTGGGTCAGAGACTATCGCTCCCAGGACATCTCTGCCTTCTTCCCAGTTAGGTCTGCTCCCGGACCCTCTCACTGTCCCGGTGGAGAGTGTGGAGGACTAGGGGCTCTGGACCGTGTCGCTAATTGCTGCCGCGCCCCCGTCCCACCTCCCCATTAAAGCTTCTCAGCCGCCGGGCTTCCTCTCTGTCTCTTGGGCTAACTGTGCGGCCACCAATACTCGGAGGGAGAGGCTTGGGGTTTAGGGGCCACACAGCTCCCAAGAACCCCCCTCCGCAGAGGTGTATCTAAGGTATGGCAGGTATGACACGTGCCCTGGGTGCCACTTGAAGCAGTTTCTATTAATCTAGCATGGTAGCATAGTGCCTAAGACACTTGACTGCTAACCCACCAGCCTTTCTTTCTTCTCGGAAGGAAGGTTGGGCAATCTACTTACCATGTAGTGATACACCTTGGAAACCCAAGGAGGGGTCGCTATGAGTCGGGGCTGACTCCACGGCACATCATAACAACCATCGTCCCTTCTCAAGAAATTGTAGTCACAGAGGCATTGAGGGGGGGCATAAGGGGGTACCTGCCCTTGGGCAAAATTCCGAGGGAGGGTGCCAGAGAAGCGCTGAATGACATCTCAAGGCCCAAAATAGGCACCCGAGAGGAAGCCAGACAAGAAGGGTAAGGCGTGTCTGCTGACATTTCCGGCCAAAAACTCATCAGCTTGAAACTGGGGGGAGAGGGGGACCAGAACTTAAAGATTGCCTCTGGGATATCATCGCCCTTACTAAGCCCCTATAGGAGGCAATTCAGTACTTGTCATAGGCGCTATTTTCCGTAGCTATGCCTCTGCCTCTTGGTCCCAGATTCTGGAGTGGCAGGACTCCTGGCCCTTTCCAACAAGCTCTGCAAGTAACACCCTTAGTTCCGTAGAAACATGAAGCAGCAGCTTTTCCTCAGAGATTTAATACCAAGGCCTCAGCCACACTCAGGTGGAGCCATTTCCTGACCTTTCCAGGACATTCGACATTCATCATCGCTTCTCCACCTGACCTAGAACCCTGGAGCGAGCAGGGGCAAGGCTGGCGGGCGCTGCTACGCAGGGCCATGCCAGGGGCTTAATAAGTGACATAAAATGTCTACACGCATAAGTAACCGTACTTAGGGCTTCTCCAAAGGCCACCCGAGCCCAGAGGTGGTGGGCGGGCCCCGTTTCACGGGCTGCGCTGCAGACGGCTGCGCAGGTCCTCCGCGCAGCCATCCAGTCCCATACGCTCTAGGGCGGCATAGACTGCGCCTAGGTCCGCAGGCTGCTGCTGGCGCCAACGCTTGAGCATCTCGTACTGCTGGTCGCGGAAGCGACCGACCTCCACCTCTACGGACTCGATCTCCGCCTCGCGCAACCCCAGCGTGCGCATGAACTCCTTCCAACGCCGAGCTGGCACCGCGTCCATCACATCGTAAAGCTGCGGGCCGGGCTGGAGCATGGATGCTGCCGAGGCTACAGGAGGCTCTAGTGGAAGCGCAGGCCCCAGAGGCGGGCCTGGGGAGGGGCCAGAGAGAGCCAATGGGAATGTGGCTAGTGCTGGGGAAGAGGGGAGGGAGGTGGGGCAGGAGTGCTCCAGGCAGCGGGGGCAGGGAGGTGCGCCCGGTCAGTTAAGGGTCAGGAAGTTGGCAAATGGTGCTCAGGAAACCACAGCTTCCCACCTCGGACTCGGGAGAATGGGGTCAAGGCCTCAGGGCACTCTGCTCACTTACCAAGGGCTCTGCTGGGCAGCTGGTCCCAGGACCATTGCACCTCTGGGCAGGGAGCCTCCTGGCTCTGTGTGGGGACCGGGGTCCAGGCGTTGCCTACCAAATGGGCAGTGCAAACCTTTTCACTGCTGCCAGGTGGGGTCAGAAGGGTGTGGGTGCCGTCTGGGGATGAGGGGTTGGTGGCCTGGAAGCATAGACGGGCCCCAGGGTCAGTCTGCCTAGTAAGACCCCTTTGTTGGGGTCTTTGATCAGCTGTGAAAATACTCCTGCTCAGTCTGCAAGCATCCCCAATGCTGCCTCCCCAGTGGGCCATGCTCTCCCCTACCTGTGGCCATCTCCCTCCAAGGAGCCATCACCTGCGTGGAATACCCTGCCCCTTTGCTTCTGCCTTTCTGGCAGCCTTTACATGACCCTCCAACCCTGGGACAGGCCTCTCCATCCCACTGAATATTCACTCCTGTTCACATGTCTGTGCTCCAGGAGACTGCAGACACTGGGGTGAGGACTCAGCTGGCCTTGGTTACTGATGCTCAGCTCTCATTCATTTATTAGATTTCCCTGTGTCACCACCTGTCCATCAATGGAGGAGTAAGTGTTGCTATGATGCCGAACAGGTTCCAGCAGAGCTGCCAGACTCAGACAGACTAGGAAGAAAGGCCTGGTGATCTACTTCCAAAAATCAGCCAATGGGAAACCTGTGAATCACGATGGCCCAATCTCATTGTACATGGAGTTGCCATAAGTCAGAGGCCAACTCCACAGCAGGTAAAAAAACAACCATCTGTACCAGTCACCTTGCCACACGCTTGGAACTACGAATTCATAAGGCCCAGTTCCCTCCCTCTAGAGGCTGAGGCCCAAGGCAGCTGCATGCCCTCTTCCCCAGCTTATTACTGAGACTCCTACCTGCAGGTGGTTCAGGGCCTCCATTGTAGCTACTGCTGAGAGAAACAAAAAGAAGCTAGTCAGCTTCCAGGCAAGGCTCCTGGGTTCCTCTGTACTCCACACTTCCTGCTCCCAGCTTGCACTCCTGTATCAGGACTGAGTGGGTACTGGGCTACCCATCCTGACCCCATGCTCCCAAGAATGTGTGTGCGCTCACCAGGAATCATGGGCTTGCGAAGCTGACAGCGGCGGTACGTATAGGTCAGTGTGACGCCAAGCAGGAGTGGAACCACCAGGCCTGCCAGGAGCACCTGGACCCAGAACACTGAAAGGGCAGCTGTTGGGTGGGTACTGGCTGCTCCCCAGCCTCCCCTTGGCCCACCCCAGTGCTCCCACTCCCATTCCCAGCCAACCACCTACTCTGCCTCCAGCCACAGACAGCAGCACAGGGCTCAGGACAGCTCCCAAGGGTGCTCCTGCAAGGAGAGGAGGTCCGGTGGGTTATGAGGGAGGACAGACCCTGGCAGAGGCTGCCCACAACTACCTCTTCATCCAGAGATGCTTCCTTTCCCAGCCCTCTCCCCTGTGAGCCTCACTTTACCCAAGGATGTTCCAGAAGTACTGCCGAAATGCCACCTGTGTCCCTAATAACAATAACTATTCATTGAGCTGCTTCTAGACTGGATTGAGGGTCATTAAGATGTCAACATCAGAAGGACAGAGCTTCTGCCTGTTTTGTTCCCTGCTCCTATTTTATTCCTAGCTTCTAGAACAGTGTCCAGAAACACTAAATGCCAGTAAGTACTTGGTGAGGAAATGAATGAATGAATGAATGAAGTACCTTCATCATAGCACTATGGGTAACCTACTAACATTCTCATGTTTCAAACAGAGACATGATGGGTCAGAGATGTTAAGTAACTTGCCCAAGATCTCTCAGCTCACGTTTTGAACCCATGCCAATGTGATTCTCTTTACATGGGATGGAAATCCCATCTTTAATGTAGGGCTGGAAGGATCACTCAGGAAAATTCTTTCAGAGGTAATGATACACTCCCTTATTTTTCTGGCACAAAGTGAATCCAGATTTCCTTCTACCACCTAGTTGCCTGAAGTGGGGCCCACCCACCATGGGGCTGGGCTCCCTTCTCTAGGCCCCTCATCCTGGGGCTCCCTCATCCCCAAACCAGCAGCTGCTTCCCTTGTGGCCCTCCTCTCCCAGCCGCCCTGCTCCCCGGTCCACAGCAGCTAGGAAGTTACGTGGGGCAGGGCGTGCAGCTGTCACCATGTGTGTAGAAGCCAGGCAGGCAGGTCCCACAGTCGGTGTCTCTGCCTGAACCTGTGGTCCAAGAGATGGGGTGGTCAGGATAGATAAGGAAGAGGGAGGCAGGGAGAGATGTGAACAAACAGCTCAGAACGGGGGCAGGGGGTACTCACAGGGCATGCGTGTGTGGCGGTGCAGGGCCCTGCAGTCTGAGCACGGAAGGCAGTGGAAGGGTGAGCCAACACTGCAGTGTCTGACCAAGCACTCCACAAACCACCCTGGCTTGCAGCCACAGCGGGTGTCTGCCACTGCTGAGCAGTTCTCCAGGGCGACCTGAAAGGCTGTTAGGGTGCGGGGAGATGGGGAGTGCAGAAGTGGTTAGAGCCAGAGACCCCCACAGAAAGGCAAGGCAGATGCCTCTGAGAACAGAGAGTAGGGTAGGACAGAGAGAGAGAGGGTACCCCACAACGGGGAGAGGCGCAGAAATGGCTGCAGCCCAGAGGCCAGGGCATGCAGAGACAGGAAGGCCAACAGGAAGAAGTGGGGGACAAGGTACCCTGAGGCAGGATCATGGTACAGGGACCTGGGTATGTGTGGGGGAGTCACAGTGCACTCACACCCAAACCTTAGGCCCAGCAGCAGTTTCCTTCAAAAAGGCCCACAAACCATCTTTCATTCATTCATTCCCCAGCACTGATGGATGTCGCTGGGCCAGCCCCCAACAGCCCCCCACTCCCAAGCACTTAGGCAGCCCCTAACCATGCTCATCACAGGCCTGGCAACGGGCACAGCGGGTCTCATGGTGGTTCTCCCTGGCCAAGAAGGTGCCCTGGGGGCATGGAAGGCAGGTGGCAGCCCCACAGGGCTTTGTACAGGGGGTCTTCAGGTAGTGGCCTGTGTAAACGGACAGGGGCCAGTCAGTCAATGGGGACTGACCAGGATCCCTAAACTGCCTCCCACCGCCCCCTCCCTACCCTCCTCTCTGGAGCCCTACTTCCCTCCCAGCTTGTCCCCACCTCCCGCAGCCTGCCTGCCACCTCTGTGCCCCTCTTGAGTGAGCGACCTCCACCTGGGCCCTCCTGCCGCCAGCTTGCCTTCATTCCTCCCTGCCCTCCCCACTGCAGGGGCCACTCACCTGCTGGACAACCCCTGCAGCAGAAAAGACCATTCCTCTTCTGGGAGTCATGGCCACAGTCACACCCAGGGCCCATTGTGCTGCCCTGGCCCTGGGCTCCCAGCAGCACCAGGAGGAGAACCTGGAGGAGGGCGGCTGCTGACTCTCGACAGGACTGCCTCCACGTGGGAATCCCCCTGCCAGCGTCCCCTAGTCCAGAGGCCTCGGAATGGGCCCTCAGAGCAGCCCAATTCGCAGGTTCTTGGGCAGAAAGGGTGCCCATTGGTGGGGAGAAGGGTAATAACTTCCCTCCCCTGCACAAACCAGGCTTCCCAGAGAGAAGGGGCTCCAGCCAGCGCGGCTCACACATCCCACCACCAGGACAGGAATTGAGGCTGCCCCGCCCCCACCCCCACCCCGGCCTTTCGAGGTGGAGGGCACTCACTGACGCTTCTCTGCTTGGGGTCCCCAGACCCATCTGGCCCCCGGGAGAGTGTTTCCTCTCAGCGGAAGAGTGCCGCCCAGCCTGAGCTTATAACTAGGTCGGCGGGAAGCCGGGTCAGCCCCCAGCACAGCTGGGAGGAAGGCTCGCCCGCTTGGAGGCCCCCTCCTTTGCCGCCAGTGCCTTACCAGACGCCAAAGAAAGGCTCGAGGCTGTGCCTAGCCCCAGGCTCCACTCACCACAGCCACCGCATCGCAGCGCTCAGGCCGCGGCTCCATGCTCCGCGCCGCGCCTGGCCCTCAGACGGCGTGCGCCACCCGGCCTGGGATCACCGCTCCGCCTCCCGACTAGGTGCCCGCCGCCAGCAGGGCCCGCCCCGCGCCGCTAGTGAGAGCCCGCCTCAGGGTGGGGGCCGGGGCGGGGCATTCCCCGGAGCTCCCCGACCTGAGCCCCCACCACTTGGCAACCCCCTTGCTGCGGTCGGTGCCTATAGAGCTCACCTAGGGTGGTGAGGCACACGCTGGACTAGGCTGATCCCAGTCCCCACGCGGGATTTCTAGCTCCAGCCCTGGACAACCTTGACACCCTCAGCATGGAAGGGGCTGGACCAGAAGTACCTGAATGGGCCTCAGGTGGAAGACCCCCCTTCCCAGGGGTATTTGTGGGGATATGAGTGCAGGAGCCCCCTGGAATTCTCTTTCCTGAGTCCTAGGAGACCCTTCCCAAAGCTGGAGCCTCTGGCCAGAAGCAGACATCCTCCAAGCAGGCACTTGGAGGGAGGGCTCTGAGGGTGACCATGTAGCCATGGCAGGGGAAGAGGGGGCCCTGCCTCCCTTCACTGCTGCTTCCCACCAATCTCTGCCAGTCCTGTCCCACTGCAGATAGAAGGGGGCACAGGAGGGCAGAAAAGGAGCCGCCCTTGAGCTTAAGTTCACCTGAACCAGGAAGGAGTGGGTTCCAGAAGCACAGCACTCTTTCCAGTGAATATATATACAAGTCTTTATAAAAGAATCAAAAGCTCAATAAATATGCATCTTTACAAGGGGAGCCAACCCAAGGCCTATGGGGGCCAGCAGGGCTGGGAGGGAGCGGGGACAGGGGAAGTTCCAGTCTGGTTTGGGGAAATGAGGGTGGAGGTGCAAGGGCAATCCAGATCCCCCAGCCCTGGAGCTCAGCCCAGAGTGTTGAGCTGGAAACTTCAAGAAGGGGGCAAGGGACCCTGCCTGGGCAGAGCCAGGCCAGGTCAGTGAGGGTGGCCGCAGTGGGGGTAGGTGGATGGGGAACTGCAGCCTGGGCCTGGGGCTCTGCCAGGGCCTTCCCCACTGCCATCCAGACAGTCTGACAAAGTGCAAATTGGCCCTGTTGGCCAGCAGGGACCCTGCCCGCATTCCAACCCTGTGTACAACACAAGGCAGTGGCTGGAGCAGTCGCCGGCACCCCTTTGAGGCATGCTGTCTGCTGTTTCTTGGTCAGTGGCACCCTTGGGGGCCTCCCTCTGCTCACACCTCCCTGTGGGGGCGGGAGGGAGAAAACAGTCCTTCCTTGGCTGATGCCATTCACAGAGGGAATGTAGGGAGGCCACCCCCTCCTCCTCATGGAATCCTCAGGGCCCCTGCACCTCAGTCCCCCAGAGCCACCCTTAGCCTGGCCCTGGGGCAGGTCTTTGTCTCCCTTTCCCATCACCATCCCCAACTTCTGTCTTCAGCCTTGTCTGTGCTCCTACCTACCCCCTGGGCTCACTGTCCCCAGAAATGCCAGCACACTGGCCCACCTGCCCGCTGCCCCCAGCCAAGTCACTCACGAGGCAGTGAGCGTAGAATTGAGCAGCAGGGTGGTCCTGATTCGGTAGAGCTGGGCCAGAGTCAGCTTCCTGTGCTGGGCAGAGATGCTTTGGAGGGACTCGGACTGGACTCTGGGTGAGGTCCCTGAGGGCAGCTCCCTGTGCCTCTTTCTGGTGGGGCCTGTGGGCTCCCCAGCTGGGCCACTGGCTCTGTCCTCTGATTCCGACAGCTCAGGGCCACTAGCAGGGCTGGGTGCCCCCTGGCCATCCCAGCGAAGCCCAGCTTCCTGAGGAGAGCCCTGAGTCCTAGCTCCAGGGGTTACAGTGGTGGCCAGGCAGAGCTCCGATAGGCTGCGACTAGGTGCTGGGGGTGCTTCACAGGTGGCAGTCCCTGACAGCAACTGGAGGAGGCTAGCCTCCGATTTGGACTTGAGCAAGTGGGGCAGGCAGGGCAGCAGCTGGACAGGGGTGCGGCGGCGGAGACGGGGTGAGGGTGGTGGTGAGGGAGCTTGAGGCAACTCTGGGGGCTGGGGCACTGGCTCTACTACAGGGGCTGGGGCTGCAAAGTCCTGCAGGGAGGTGGGTGAAAGGGTGCCATAGGCAGAGTCCATGGAGCACGAGCGGCCGTCCACTGGGCCGAGGGGCAGCAGCTCGCTGGTGGGAGTGATGGAGGAAGCTGTGGTGCTGAGGGAGGTCTCATCTGACTGGGAACTGAAGGCGCCTCCCTCAAACTCAGGTGAGGACAGCATCTCCCCAGGTTCTACTACCACCATGGCCAGGGTCTCTGTGGAGCCGTCCGAGACACTGTGGGGCCCGGAGGAGAGAGTCAGGCCAGCCAGAGGAAACCAGCACGGTGTAAACCCTCACCCCAGCAGCTACCGTTAATCGATCAGACTTCACTATCCCCTCCTAGCCTGTGGCCAGAGACAAAGTGCATATATGCAACACACATGCACATGCACATGAACACACATGCCCACTGAGATTACAGCATGAGGCCTTTTGGAGGCAGGAGGCATGGCTGGGCCCTGTCCAGTGTCAATGGCCTTGGAATTGGGAGTCCTAGGGTGGAAGCCTGCTCTGCTGGGACCTGCTGGGAGGTCTGCGGAAAGCATACCAGTGCTGAGAGTCCAGGCTGTCGTTGCTTTTGCGCAGGATGGTGGGAGAGCTGGCAGCCGAAGCGCTGCTCTCTGCATCTTCCTCTTCCTCCTCTTCCTCCTCCTGCTCCTCCTCCTCCTCCTCCAAGCTCTGCAGGGGCTGCTGGCTGCCTGGCTGCTCCTGTGCACGCAGCTGCTGCAGCTGGTTCTGCAGGCAGGGCGGGGGCAGATGGTCTGTGAGCAGCACCCCCACCAGGCTGCCCTGCCCACCTCCCTCACCAACACACTACTCTGCCCTCACCTGGGCATTGTAAATGGCATCCACCCAGCCACGGCATAAGGCCTGGCCGCTGGCCTGGAACGTGTAGGCTCCCACAGCACTGTGGAACTCGTTTAGGTGGATGAGGAGGAAGGATCCTGGTGAGAGAGAAGCCTCAGTCAGCCAAGACCATGGCCCCTCCCCCCACCAGCCTCTACCCAGAGCAGGGGGGCTGGGGCTCTTCACCAGGGTCCCGTAGCTCCCGACACACAATCTTGTCCACGAGTAGTGGGGGCCTGATGACTCTGGTCCTCTCGGCCTTCTTCACTGCCTTGGTCACCAAGAGCAGGTCCGTGAAAAGGAAGCAGTACACGTCCATCTGGGTGGTCGGGAAAAGGAGAGGACTTTGGGGTCAAGGCTAGGATCTTGGGGTCTCAGGAAGGGACCCTCAGTCTGTCTGTTGGAATGCACTGCTCTGTGTGTGTGTGGGGGGTGGGCAGGAGTGGGGGGGAGGCTTGATTCTGACAAACATCTTCCCCATTCACCTCCCAAAGTGAAACTATAAGTAAAATTGAAATGAAGACACTGAATTGTACACCAAAAAGTGGCTAAGGTGGCACAGTTTTTGTTATATGTCTATTTCATCACAATAAAATTTATTTTTAAATTCTAGTAAAAAAGAAATGAAAATGAAAATGATTTTCTTTTATGGAGCTATACAGTTGTGGTTTATTGCAATGAAAAGTTTCCATTTAATTAAGAGTGATGGGGAAATTCTGAGACAATGATAATGGCTGAACAACATAACAAACAGCTAATGTCACTGAATTGTACGTGAGAAGAATACTGAAAAGGCAAACAACTGCAGACGTATATGTACCACAATAAAAACAATTTACATTAAAGGCGGGGGATGGAACCAGAATGGCGGTCACGAGAATGTGTATGCACCTTGAGCAGCGTAACCAAGGTCACTAAACAACTTACGTGGAAATCGTTGGATAGGAACCTAGACTGCTATGTCAACATTCACCAAAAACACAATAAAACATGCTTTCAGGAAAAGAAGGGGCTGGTGAGAGAGAATGGGGAGTTATTGCTTAATGTTTGAGGAGGTAAAGATTTGGAAAAAGATAGCAGTGATAGTCACCAACACTGTGAATGTGATCAATGATACAGAATTATATACTTACAAGTGGCAAAAATGGCAAATTTTATGTTGCACATATTTTACTACAATAAAATTAAAAGAAAAGAAAGAAGAAAAGGGAGGTAATTTTAAAACCACAATTTGTGGGGTAAGTAGTACAGCAATCAAGGCTCTAAGCAGTTCCTGGCTGCCCTTCCACCCAGGACTTCCCATGGCACTGACTGGTGAGCAGGCCTGGCCCCTCCTGGGCAAACAGTGACCCTGCAGAACAAGTAGAGTTGTTGTTGGGTTCTGTCAGTCAACCCCGACTCATGGCAACCCCAGGTGTGCAGAGTAGATCCACTCCACAGGGTTTCAAAGCTGTGACCTTTCAGAAGCAAATCACCAAGACTTTCTTCCAAGGTGCCTTGGGGTATGTTCAAATCACCAACCTTTTGGCTAACAGTCAATTCAATGTTTGGGCCACCCAGGGACTCCCTATATGTGAAGAGTAAAACCAGTTAAAAAACCAGTTGCAGTTGATTCAACTCTGACTCATGGCCAGCCCAGTGTGTCAGAGAAGTGTGCTCTACAGAGTTTTCAACTGGAGGCAAAAATCTCACCTCTCATTTGACCACAAAGTCAGTTCTCAAGTCACCAACCACTGACTTGGCAGCTGAGGACCACCACAGGGCGCCCCTAGGATGGGCAGTCTAAACTCACAGGGCAAGAGAGAACGGAGAAGGGGAGGGGAGGGGCCCCTAGAGTCACCTTGCTGTCTTTCCCCTCCTTCATTCTCAGGCTCCCCTCCAACAGCAGCTGCCGTGTCTCTTCCAGGGAGGCCCCGGGGATGGGCACTGTCAAGTCCAGCTGCAGAAATTCCTTCAGGAGCTAGGGGGCAGAGAGAGCAGGTAGCTATAGGGGAGGTAAGGCATCTGAAGTGTCATCATAGCTTGAGTCCTTAAGTGAGGTCTTGTGAATAGCCCATCTACCAGTTTGGCCCTTCTCCACAC